AAATATTTTGATTTTAAATTTTTAGACAATATACCTTTATTGCCTCAAGTACATGAGTTACAAATAATTGTGAACAAGTTGAAAGTGGTAAAAATTGAACTTCCCGAAATTTTCCAAGTCTGAGCAATTATTGCTAAACTCCCTGATTCTTGGAGAGGATATAGAAAGAAAATTCTTCACAATTCCGAAGATTTTTCTTTAAAAGATATACAGAAACATCTTCGCATTGAGGAAGAATCACGGGCAAGAGATAAGATTGAAAATTCTTATGATGGCTCTTCGAAAGCCAATGCCGTGGACAATGTGGACAGCTCCAACAAGTTCAAAAAGAAAGGAAAATTTCTTAGTCCTAGAAAGGATCAAGGAAAATTCAAAAACAAAACCAAAGGACCGTGCTATGTTTGTAGGAAACCGGGACACTATGCTAAAGATTGCAGGCATAGGAAACAACATAAGAAGGAAGGACAAGTGAACTCTGTTGATAAAATTATTGCAACAGTGAGTGAAATTAATGCAATCCAAGGCAAAGTTCCGGGCTGGTGGTACGATACATGCACTACAATCCATGTATGTTATGATAAGTCTCTCTTCAAAACTCATCGTGACATTGAAGACAACCAAGAAATACAAATGGGAAATGAAGGAAGATCAAAGGTGATCGGTAAAGGAAATGTTGAACTACTTTTCACTTCAGGAAAGAAGATCACTTTGACAAATGTCCTGCATGTAACGAAAATGAATAGGAACTTAGCAAGTTGTGTACTCTTGGGAAAATTTGGGATTAAATCTGTCTTTGAATCTGGAAAACTTGTATTAACCCATAGTGGGCATTTTGTTGGAAAGGGCTATTCCACCGAAGGAATGGTCAAGCTATGTACTGTTGATGATAACTCAAATAAAATTAAATCTTTTGCATATGTTATTGATTCATTTAATTTATGGCGTGGTAGATTAGCACCTATAGGATTTAGTACTATGAAAAGAATGATTAAATGTGGATTAATACAATGTGATATTGATAACTTAGAAAAATGTGAAATATGTGTTAAATAAAAAATGATTAAGAAGTCATTTCATAGCATAGAAAAAAACAACAGAATTACTTGAACTTGTTCATTCCGACATTTGTGAATTGAATGGAATATTAACTAGAGGCGGTAATAGATATTTTATTACTTTTATTGCTGATTGTTTTAGGTATACTTACGTATACTTACTTAAACATAAGGATGAAGCCTTTAGTGCCTTTAAAACTTACAAGAATGAAGTTGAAAATCAATTAGGAAGAAAATTAATGACTTTAAGAAGTGATAGAGGTGGAGAGTATTTTTCAAATGAATTTAACATATTTTGTGAACAAAGTGCAATAATACATCAATCTTCTGCACCTAGAACACCGGAACAAAATAGATTAGCAGAAAGAAAGAATAGAACTTATTTGGAAATGATAAATGCTATGTTATTAAATTCTGAATTACCTTTTAACTTATGGGGTGAAGTATTACTTTGTGCTTGTCATATAACAAATAGAATTCCTATGAAAAAGAATAAAATTTCTCCATATGAACTTTGGAAAGGTAGAAAACCAAATATTAATTATTTTAAAGTGTGGGGGTGCCTTGCATATTGTAAAAATATGGATCCAAAGAGAACCAAGTTTGGTCCTAGAGGTATCAAATGTGTCTTTGTAGGATATGCCCTTAATAGCAAAGCCTATAGGTTATTAAATCTCGAATCGAAAGTTATAATAGAATCAAGAGATGTGGAATTCTTCGAGAATGTGATGGTAGCTAGGAAATCTGAAAATAGTAAGGATATTCCAACCTTTAAAAGCTCACCAAAAGAGACATCCATAAAGGATGTTGACTTTGAACCTCGAAGAAGCAAAAGAACAAGAAAGGGAAAGAACTTAGGATCTAATGAAATAGATTCCCAACATATTTTCTTTTACTTAGTAGAAGGAGATAGGAAGGATGTTGTAAGAGAAATTCCTCTTGTTCTTCAAGTGGAAAGTGATCCTAAGACTTATAAGGAAGCAATTCAATCTAGAGATTATATATTCTAGAAAGAAACTATAAATAATGAAATGGAATCTATTATTTCAAATAACACTTGGGAAATAGTTGACCTATCAGCAGGTTCAAAGGCTATTGGTTGTAAATGGGTATTTAAAAAGAAATATAAATCTGATGGGTCGCTTAATACTTATAAGGCTAGATTGGTAGCTAAAGGGTATCGTCAAAGGGAAGGAATTGATTACTTTGACACATATGCACCAGTGGCAAGGATAACCTGAATAAGGATTTTATTTGCACTAGCATCTATATATGATTTATATGTTCATCAAATGGACGTAAAAACGACATTTTTAAATGGAGATCTCGAAGAGGAGGTCTATATGGAACAACCGGAAGGGTTTGTTCTACCGAGAAATGAACATAAGGTGTGCAAATTAATTAAATCTTTATATGGATTAAAGCAAGCTCCCAAAAAGTGGCATGAGAAATTTGACTCTAAAATAATGTCAAATGGATTTAATCACAATTCAGTAGATAAATGTCTCTACACAAAAGTGAATGGTGATATAATCACATTAGTGTGTCTATATGTTGATGATATGCTAATCATTAGTAACAATATAGACGAAATCAAAGAAACAAAATGATTTGTATCCTCTACTTTCAAAATGAAAGATCTTGGAGAAGTAGATACTATCCTTGGAATCAAAGTAAAGAAGGATAGTGGGGGTTTTACATTAAGTCAATCACATTATGTTGATAATGTGATAAATAAATTTAAACATTTGAACATTAAAGATGCGAGTACCCCTATAGATCCACATATAAAATTAATCAAAAATGAAGGTAGAGCAATTGTACAAATAGAATATGCAAGTGCAATTGGAAGTCTTATGTACACATCATAATGTACAAGACCTGATGTGGCATTTGCTGTAAGTAAACTAAGTAGGTTTACTAGCAATCCAAGGTCGGAACATTGGAAAGCCATTGGTAAGGTTCTTGGTTACCCAAAGAAAACCAAAAATCTTGGGCTACAATATACCAAGTATCCTAAAATATTGGAAGGATATACCGATGCAAGTTGGATATCAAGTGCAGGAGAAAATAAATCCACATCTGGATGGATTTTCACTCTTGGAGGTAGTGCAGTTTCTTGGAAGTTTAAGAAACAAACTTGCATTACACATTCAACTATGGAATCAGAGTTTGTAGCTTTGGCTAAAACAGGGAAAGAAGCAGAGTGGCTGAAGGACCTATTATAAGAAATACCTTTAGACATAAATGATATTTCCTCCATACCTATTTTGTGTGATAGTCAAGCTACTTTAGCTCGAGCATATAACGAAGTATATAATGGAAAGTCTAGACATATGAGTCTAGGACACGAATATGTAAGGAAATTAATCAAGCATGGAGTAATTTCTCTTATATTTGTTAGTTAAGTGAAAACTTAGCTGATCTATTTACCAAACCTCTCACAAGAGAGTTAGTGAAATCAACATCAAGTAAAATGAGTTTAAAACTTCTTAAATAGATTCACCAATAACGGCAACCCTACCAAAATATACTAAACTAGTATATATATAGGTTCAAAGGGTAATAACAAGTTATTCGATAAGTGGATGAATTTCAACACTATTAGATATATTGAAATTATATCTTTGAAACTAGTGTTGGTTATTACTGTTGGAGGGATGAGTTAATTAAATTCTTAATGAAGTTCAGTACGGCGTACAAGTATCTGTAAAAGTAACAAAAATACTGGAAGAACTTCACTTATGTGAACTTCGAGGTGGTGCCTTTTTTCTCTATAAAAGTTCAACGAAATAGGATTAGTGCAAGGTCATATTAGCACTAAGCGAGTTAGAGGAACTTGTGAAAAGTTTAACACGTGTGTGTGATTTCATCGGTATGGTCACAAAGAATAACTGGTTCAAAGCACTTTAGCTACTTGGAATTCTGATAATACTTTATGAGATTTACATTATGAATAGATTCAAATCGAAAAGATATCTAATTTTTATGCATAAGTGTTAATTATTTGATTATGTGATAGACACTGATTTTGAACAAGTGGGGGATTATTAGAATTTTAGTTGTTCAAAATAATAATAATAATAATAATTAAAAAAGAATATTGTTTTGGGCTTAACCATGCGGCCGCATGAGGCTTTCCCATTTTGCACTATAACCATGCAACCGCATGGTTATACAAAGTAACCATTGGAGATTCGTTTTTCACCGTTTTTCTTTTGAATTTGGTGCCTTCTCAACATAATTTTGCACCATTTCGTGGGAACCCTTCAAATCCTATAAATAGGTGTTCCAATTGCAATGAAAAATACTCTTGAGAAAATTAAGAAATCCACCCCAAAATTATTCTCCCAAATTATCACATAATCAATCCTATACCTATTTTCACTAGTTCTTTGTGAAAGATACACTTTGCTTTTGGTGTTCTTCACACAAAGGCTTGTTCAATCCTACAAACTATTTGCCAGAACTCCTCAAAAGTATTGGAAAGGGGGCAAATAACGTTTGAGGATAACGTTATCATTTTCGTGTTCAAGTCTCTAATCATATCTATATTCTTTTCTTCTTTGGTATCACCAATTTTCTTCTCTTCATTGCTTTAAATTTCCAACATATATGATAAAGGTTTTAACAACTTTTAACACATGCATACAAACATATACATATGCGTATCAATGAAACAAATTTTTACCTTTTTGACCTTTATAATATTGTCCAATATTTTGCATTAAAGTTAGCATTATTTAGTATTTACACATAATTAATGGAAACTTGAAAATTCGGTTGCTCCATTGACTCTTTTTTGGCATATAAATTCTGCATTTAGTAAATGATCTTTAGTGTATAACTTTAATAGCAATTTACCAATTTATCGGGCTCCACTCACGTTACATACAAGCAAATATCACTTAGTTTTAATCGAAGAAAAATAAAATAATTCAAATAAAAGAATACCATTTACATGCATATCCAAGCTAAGTAACAATCATAAAAAGTTGATTTGCCCCATTAATTGCATGTATTAAATTGGACCCACCCATCAAAATTATAGTACGGACTCCACAAAGACTTTAATAATTTTTTTACACCTTTCCTTGGCTGGCTGGCATGGCAACTCCCAATAACAATTCCAAATTATTCTCATGCCAAGCTTTTGCTCGTGGGCATACCCTTAAAACCCAAATTATGAGTTTATAAAAAAATGAGAGTAAATTAATTAATTATTGGTTAGGACCTAAAGGGTGCCCTGTGAGGAATGCCCTTTCTTCTTCTTGCGCTAGAAGACGGTCTAGTAGGTGAGGGCCGGTAAATGTCTTTTTCCGCACCTTCGCGCAATTTTTCTTCTTCTTCTTCCTCGTCCATTACTCTTCTTGATATCCCTTCATTTCCGTCCCCATTATTCTTCTTTATTGCTACAACCTATATTTTTAAATAAAATAAAATCAATTCAATTCGTATAAATGGCGACGATGATAGTAATGAGACGAGGGTTACAATGAATGTTACTACGTACTAACCTTGCATCCCAATGAACAAAAACGAAATGCGTCAACGAGGTTTCTTCCACAAATTTCACAAATGTGAGAAACTGTCTTTCCACCTTTAGGCTGAGGTCTTTCGTTCAGAAACAAAACCCTTGCACCGTTTATTACATATGTTTGAACTCCACTTATATCCAAAACCTTCTGAATTTCCGATACCCGAACCACATCATGGTATGAAGATCGCCTTATCTACATATTCACAAACGAACTTAATTAATTCCACGTAGTAATTAACGATGTTTTCAACCAAAAAAAGAGAGAAATCCTCACCCACCTGAATCACTTGATGATCTTTGTGTTTTGATGAACGGCAATATAAACAAAATGCATCACTATTGCAATCTAAACAATACATATTACATTCACTCCTGGCGGCGTCGCCGTGACTCCGGCAGACTCTGAAAAAGGCGGTGATTAACAGCCGCTCTAGCCACGGCGGAACCACCATTATGTCCTGCTAAAACCCATTGAATAGAGTCAGTCATGCAAAATCTAGAGAGAGAAATACAATTCTGTAAAACATTACCATCATCGAATTGGGATTTGTACAAATGGAGATTTTTCGGATGGAAATTTGGAGAGAGAGAGAGAGAGAGAGAGGAGGGAGGCCTAACCTTAACAACCAGCAACTTAGAATTCAACTACGAAACATCAACTAGTACAGACTAAGGAGGGATCAATTAAACCAGAAATTAACAAAACTAACGACAGAGATTAAAGTGGGTCGCTCAAGATGTGTATTAGCCGTCGATCTTGAGAGAGAAACCGATGGAAGAATTTGGCGCTTACGCGACTTTAAGCTTCTTTGCGTCTCTACGTGGGCACAAGGGTCGGCCGCTAGACACGTTAAAGAATTTATAGCCTGTGAAACGGTGCCGTTTTATTCCTTTCCTAACGTGGCAGACGTTAAGTGGTTATTAATTGGGACCCGCAGTATGGTGTTTTTTGTTGTTGATGACGTAGATTTGAGGTAATGAATACGTATAAAATAAGAACCGTTTGTCATAACTTTTAAAAGGTTAAAACCAGTTTTTAAGAACTAAAAACTACTTTTGGACTTATTTAATTAATTTTATGAAAGAATTTTTTTAATTTAAAATTTTTTTTAAAGAAAGTTGATCTAATATAATTTTCTCTAAAAACATTTCTGAAATAAGAAGCTCTCTTACAAATTATTTTTCAAACAAAATAAAAATAAGGATCATGCTATAGGGGTCACAATGAATCAAAAAATCGTGAGCCTCCTTCTTGTAAGGGAGTTGTCATTTTCGATTTTACAAATAGCAAAATTCTACTTCAAAATCTTTTCTACAAAAAATAAAAGTAAAAATAGAAATCATACCAAACGTACCAAAATTACCCTCAAGATGGTGCTACATTTTCATTGAGACAACATAATTTTAGGCAGCATGTCCACTCAACCAATATTTTTAAATCAAACCTTTGATTAGTTGTTTAGTTAATTTAGGAATAATCAAGATAAAATTTGCCCGATATGAAAGCAGCAAGAAAATTCATCTTAAAATTATTTTTTTATGAAGCAATAATAGCATATATTATATTATATTATAATTAGTATTCTAACAAGTTCGTCTAGACCAGTTAAGATATGTCTAGACATTGATTATACGATGAACGATGAGATAGTTATAAATGATAAAATAAATAATTAATATAATAATTAAGTGAGTTGAGTTTAATAATTAACAACAATTATTTACAACTAGAAATTGAGACTTTAAAAAAATAAGGAAAATAAAAATTACATGGGTATCCGCTCGATGAAGCTCCTATTTGATCCTCATTTTTAAAACTTTTTTTATTAATTTCATTTTCAATCATACATATTATGGGACTTACAATTTCAATTAATTTTCAAACAAATAATTATAACTTTTATTAAAATCTATTAATTTTTATCAAAATCAAACAAGGACGAGGTTTGGCGTCAAAGTAGGTTGTACAATACACAAATACAAACCGTTGAAAGTGTGGACCTTTGGGATTAGTGTCACAATGACAAATGTATAAAATAAGATATATATAATATTTTTAATTCATCTGGGTCTCTAATGCTAATATCATATTGCCTCGTATAGCTTCCTAACCCTATAATAGTTGTATAGATGCCTTGATATCTCTTAGGTTTAAATTTGCATGGTTTTGATAATTTCAAATATAACTCTAATCTTTTATTTATTTTTAGGTATTTTAGGGTACACTATAAGCACTCATAAACAAGTTAGAAAGAATTTCAAACCACACCTAGCTATTAAAGAACTCGATAAGTAACAATAATTCTTATTGAAGATATCGATGATGTAATAAAGACAAAAAGGATCACATGTTAAACAAGGAAGACAAAAGAAAACCTAAAATGAGGGCTGGGATTGCGTGGATTCTTCAAATAAAGGCATAATCTTTCCGTGAGACAAGGAAAGAGAAGGGTAACAAAAAATGTTTGTTTTAATTGAATGACATCTACCATTTATAAGATCCAAAACCCATAGAAAGAAAAGAAAAAGAAACCCAAACCAATCGGCAGATTTTAAGGATTTGAGTTTAAGAAATCCTTTGCTTATAAAGAGGAAATGTTATGCTTGACATTTGTTGGAGCCCAATGATGCAGCCCAAAAAGGAGTGGCCCTTTTAACTGAATGTGACCTGGTTTGCCCCCACTTGTGCAGTCTCGTGTTTCTCTAGTAAATGCGACTTTAGTTTGTTTTAATTGGATGGCTAAGATGATGCCAGGTGGAGTTGGCTAAACCGTTGGATGCAAATGATTTTTCATTTACCTTGCCCTAGACTCTTCACTTGCCTCATTCTTCGAGAGACTTCTATGGTTCTTCGTGAGTCTTGTTCTCTGTTCGTCTCTTCTTTGAAAACTCTTGATTTTCGTTTGTAATCTCTTGGTTTCTAGGTGTTCTTGGTGAGATCTAGTATAGAATACAGTATTCTTGTGATGATTCTACTTACTGATTGAGTGTTTGGTGCTAATTACCTTGGTGTAATCTGTGTGAGTGAGAATCCGAAACTTTTTAGAGTCTGGGGGCTAGATCTTTTAAGATCTATTGTGTTGTAATCCTTAAACACTTGATATTTTGTCGGTTCTAGTGGATTGGAGCGATAACCACTTAAAGTGGATACTCAACGTGGTGATTAGTCCTTTGTGGGTGAACATCCGGGCCTAAAGGCGAAAAATCTTTGGTGTTCTTACAATTTCTTTTATTATTTTGTATACTACTAGGACTGAAACACCTACAGTGGTATCAGAGCGCCTCGATCTATTCATATAATCTTCGATCTTACCTTTTCTGTGGTGTTCTTGGTGATCAGAACTTTCAATCTTCATAGATCCATATTTTTGTTAAAGGAGTTCGTGGTCACTGCCTTGGTGGAAAAGTAAAATAGGCTTGGTATTCACTATTTTACACTATTGGCCTGAGACGAGTCTGGTAACGAGTTTTTAACCCTAAACCTAATTTTTTTTATTCTTCAGATAACTCTATTTTTTCTTGGTTGAGGCCCACCTGGATCTACCTTTGTCTAGGGTTTCATACGAGAACCCTAGAATCTGAGGGGACTGGGTTTAACGGTCTCTTCAAGATTAGATGTGAAATTTTGTCTGCTGGAAATAACTGTTTATGGTTTATTGATTAATTGGTATACCTGCTCATTGTGTTGTATATATTGTGCATCTGTGTGAGAATCATCTGCACACTAATACTTTCTGTACACATTTGTACATATAAATTTCTTTTCTCACACTGCATATCTAAACTTGCTTTGGCCAAAAGATTGTTAAAATTTTTTTTTTTTTGAAAAATAATGGCAAGCACTAAGATTGATATTGAAATCTGGAACGGCAAAGGAGACTTTAGTCTCTGGAGTAAAAAATTTAAGGCTCTTTTAATGCAACAAAGGTGTGTGAAAGCTATAGATGAATCATGGGGTCCTGAAATTACGGAAAATAGAAGGACTGATCAAGATGAAATTGCTTGGAGTACAATTTTCTTGCATTTATCTGATAGTGTGATTAGAGAGGTAGGAAAAACTAAAATTGCAGCTGAAATTTGGACAAAGCTTGACTCTCTCTATCAAACCAAAACTCTACCAAATAAATGTTACTTGTGGAAACAATTCTTCAGTTTTAAATTTGACCCTAACAGTGATCTTGAAATGAATCTTGATAGATTTAATAAATTATCACAAGATATTACTAACTGTGATGAAACTCTTTCTGATGAACAAAAATATGTGGCCTTACTATCATCTTTGCCTGATAAATACAAAGATGTGAAACATGCCCTAGAATATGGTAGAACATCTGTAACTGTTAATGATATCACTACTTCCTTGAGAAATAAGGAATTAGAATTCAAAAGTGAATCTAAAACCTCAACAACTGGTGTAGGTTACAATGTTAGAGGAACTTTTTCTTTTAAGAAAAATAATTTTAATCAAAACGTAAACAAAAATTTTGGAAAATCAAAAGATTTTACTGGAACTCTTCAAAAGGGGAAATCAAAATTTAATAAATACAACAGTAAGGCCAAAGGTAAAAAAATGTTATTTTATTGGAAAAATAGGTCATTATATTAAGGACTGTATAAAAAGAATTGAAGAATTGAAAATAACTAATAAGGTTGACGGTGGAGATGCTAGAGCTTATGAAGAAGCTGCAGCCTCAAATGGACAAGTCTATATGACATGTCAATTCCCAGTCAAAGATGACTGGATTCTTGATTCTGGATGTACATTTCATATGTCATCCCATAAAGAATATTTTACTGATCTTTATCAAATTAATGGGGAACGTGTAATAATGGGAAATGATTTTTCTTGCAAAATTAAAGGTATTGGTAAGATTGTATTAAAACTTGAAAATGGAAATGTGCTGATTTTAAATAAAGCAAGATATGTTCCAAAATTAAAGAAAAATATAATCTCTTTAGAAACTCTTGATGATGAAGATTTTAATACAATCATAACCAAATGAATTCTATCACTCCAAAAGAATTTTGTAAAAGTTATTCAAGTAGAAAAATCAAATGACATATATGCTTTAAAGGCTATACGTCTAAAGAATCAAAACATTGTTGCAAATGTAACTTTGTCAGATAAATCTGAAGTTTGGCATAAAAGGTTGGGGCACATAAGTGATAAGAACTTACATGTTCTTAAGAAACGAGGTGTTTTAGGAAAAGATAAAATAGAAAAAATGTCTTTATGTGAACATTGCATTTATGGGAAGCAAAAGAAACTTCCATTTGCTACTGGTACCCATAAATCTAAATCTATTCTTGATTACTTGCATGCAGACTTATGGGGACCAGTTGCTGTGTCCACCTATTCTTGTTTTAAATATTACCTATTGATAGTTGATGATTTTTCAAGGAAAAACTGGGTCATACTTTTAAAAAATAAGTTTGATACTTGTCAGAGCTTCATCACTTGGAAAATTCTTGTTGAAAATCAAATAAATAAAAGTGTTAAAGCTCTTAGGACTGATAATGGACTTGAATTCTGTAATGAAGAATTTGACAATTTTTGTAAAGAAAATGGAATCTTAAGACATAGGACTGTAACCTATACACCTCAACATAACGGTTCAGCAGAAAGAATGAATAGGACTTTATTAGAAAGAGTGAGATGCATGTTAATAAGTTCAGGCCTTCCAAAATTGTTCTGGGGGGAAGCTGTGAAAACCGCCTCTTTCCTAATAAATAAATGTCCTACAAAATCACTAGATTATGATGCACCTGACCATGCTTGGAGTGGTTACCCTGTTGACTACTCCAAACTTAGGATCTT